AGAATAGAATAGAATAGAATAGAATAGAATAGAATAGAATAGAATAGAATAGAATAGAATAGAATTCTTTATTGGCCAATCGTAATTGGACATACACGGAATTTGTCTCTGGTGCTGAAGCTCTCAGTGTAAACACATACAATAAAATGCATGGATCATAAATCGTACTTAATTGGTCATAAATCACATTTTTCAGTACCATTCTAACTTTGAACTGTTACTTTGAACTGTTCTAACTTTGAACTGTCACTAAACAAATGTTGTAAATCAAGAACCACCTGTAAACTGTCTCAGTTGAGAAAGGGTTAATCCTCCTGATGTTTGTTAAGTTTACAGTGTAGGAGGTGAGTAGATTCTCCTGGGCTTGATAGAGAGAGGGATTAAACACAGGGCCCTAGACTCGCTTCCAAGGTTCAGTCAATCAGAATAGAGCTGGAAGGGCTTTGGAGGTCCTATAGTCCAACCCCCTGCTAAGTAGGGAGCCCCTTTCAGACAAGTAATGGTTCAGTCCTGTGGTGAGATTCATTTTTTTTTATTACCGCTTCTGTGGGCGTGGCTTGGTAGACGTGGTTTAGTGGCCATAGCAGGGGAAGGATATTATAAAATCTCCATTCCCACCCCATTCCTGGGGGAGGGTTATTGCAAAATCCCATTCCCTCCCTACATCACTAACCTGCTTTCCAGCTCTGTTCTCCTGTGCAGGGCAACCAAAGAAGACCCAGCCGGCAGAGAATAGATGGGGGCAGAGCCAGACAGAGGTGGTATTTGCTGGTTCTCCGAACTACTCCAAATTTCCACTAACGGTTCTCCAGAACTGGTCAGAACCTGCTGAATACCACCTCTGGTTCAGTCTCTTCTTAAAATCTCCAGTGATGAAGGACCCACAACTCCTGGTGGCAAGCAGTTCTACCGGTTAATTGTTCTCTCAGTCAGGAAATTCCTCCTTAGTTCTAGGTTGCTTCTCTCCTTGATTAGTTTCCACCCATTGCTTCTTGTCCTGCCTTCATGGGCTTTAGAGAATAGCTTGACTCCATCTTCTTTGGGGCAGCCCCTGAGATACTAGAAGACTGCTATCATGTCTCCCCTAGTCCTTCTTTTCATTAAACTAGACATACCCATTTCCTGTAACCGTTCTTCATATGTTTTAGTCTCCAGGCCTTGAATCATCTTAGTTGTTCTTCTTTGCACTTTTTCCAACATCTTTTTTGTCATGTCGTGACCAAAACTGGATGCAGAATTCCAGGTGTGGCCTTACTAAGCCTTACTTTTATAAAGCAGTACTAATAACTTCATAGGATTCCTCCATGTTTATGACGTGGTGCTTATGATGTGGTGTGTGACGTACAGTCCTTGACTTAACAACCATTCATTTAACAACCGTTCAAAGTTACAACAGCACGGAAAAAAGAGACTAGCGGCCAGACCTCACACTTATGACCATCGCAGCATCCTCACAGTGTTGTGGTCAAAATTTGGATGCTTTGTAGCTGGCCTACATTTACCGCTGTTTTCAGCATCCCAGGTTCAGATATGTCCTTTTTTTTCTTTTTTGGTAGTGTGGTGACCCAAACAGGCTGCAGGATTCCAGGTGGGGGTCTTACGAAGTGGTTAAATCAGAGGTGATATTCAGCAGGTTCTGACCAGTTCTGGAGAACCGGTAGCGGACATTTTGTGTAGTTTTGGAGAACCGGCAAATCCCATCTCTGACTGGCCCCGCCTCCGTCTCTTTTCTGTCTCCCATTGAGTCTCAGTTGATCAGCTGGGTCTCCTTTTGTTGCCTTGCACAGGAGAACAGAACTGGAAAGCAGGTTAGTGGGGTGGGGAGGGAATTGGGATTTTGCAGTAAGCTTCCCACGCCACCCCACACCAAGCCACATCCACAGAACCAGTAGTAAAAAAAATTTAAATCCCACCACTGGGTTAAATGCTTTCTGCGCACAGACGAGACGACGCGTTTGATGTTCCTTCTGCTTCCGTTTCAGGGTGCGCTTTCCTGACCTACTGCGCCCGAGACTCCGCTATCAAAGCTCAGACTGCCTTGCATGAACAGAAGACGCTTCCAGGGGTAAGTGTGGGAATCCGGCCATTTTGCAGAGCGGGGACCCGTTCATCTCAGAACAATTTCGGTTTTGCGTCGTGTGTCCAAAATGTGGTGAGAAAAACAGATGAATATTCCTAGGATTTCTTTTTTTTTTTCCCCCCATTGTCGTTAGCCCTGCGAGGTTGTCCAGACAAATTTCACATCAAGGTCCTTTTACATTTCTTTTATTTGAAATAGGAGGCCAAGAGCCATCTCAAAATATCTGGTTTTTCAGTGTTCAAACCTTCGCTGATAAACTCCATTTTTACAAGCACCCCGAATTTTAGTTCAGTTTGAATGGCAGACCTTAGAAGAAATTTTGTTCACGTTTGTTTTTTTAAAATTTATTTATCTGTCTGTCTGTCTGTCTGTCTGTCCATCTATTTATTTATTCCCCACTCACAGGTAAATATAATGCAGGTGGTCCTCAAGTTACGGCCACAATGGAGCCCAAACTTTCCATTGCTAATCAAGTGAGTTTTGTGAGTTTTGTCCCATTTTACGACCTTTCTTGCCACAGTCGCAAAACGAATTACTGCAGTTGTTAAGCTAGTCACACAGTTGTGAAGTGAATTTGGCTTCCCCAACTGACTTTGCTTCTCAGAAGGTCCCGGGCTGCTGCAACCGTCATAACTATGAGTCAGTTGCCAAGCGTCTGAATTTTGATCACGTGATGGTATGGAACGTTGCAACCGTTGTCAGTTTGAAAAATGGTTAAAAAGTCATTTTTTTTCCAGTGCCATTGTAACTTCAGTCATTAAACGAACTGTTGTAAGTTGAGGACTATCTGGATAGCTCTATTTTTGTGGCAAGAATCCTGCAAAGGTGATTTTTTCTTTTTTTTTTCAAATTCTGAAAAATTAGGGAGGGTCACTTCTGATATGCTTCCCACATCCCTTTTCCTTCGGTGGGTCTGGAAATTTTTTACAGGTAGTTGTGTGAGAAACGGTCATAAGTCTCTTTTTTCACGGCTGTTGTAACTCTGAACGGGCATTAAACAGACTGTTGTAAGTCAAGGACTACCAGTATCATTGTTTGTAATCTTTGAACGCAGAGATGGAAATTACATTTTTTCAGCAGATAACAGGAAAGAAACAGATACAGGTACAGATTAACAGAGCTGGAAGGGACCTTGTAGGTCATCTAGTCCAACCCCTGCCCAAGCAGGAGACTGTACACCATTTCTGACAGATGGCAGTCCAGTCTCTTCTTGAAAGCCTCCAGGGATGAAGCTCCCACAACCTCCAAAGGCAAATTCTGTTCCATTTGGTTGATTGTTCTCACTGTCAAAAAGTTTCTCCTTATTTCCAGGTTGAATCTCTCCTTGTTCAGTTTCCATCCATTGTTCCTTGTCTGGCCTTCAGGGGCCTTGGAAAATAGCTTGACCCCTTCCTCCTCTTTGTGGCAGCACCTCAAATATTGGAAGACCGCTATCCTGTCTCCCCCGGTCCCTCTCTTCACTAGACTAGCCAAGCCCAGTTCCTGCAACCGTTCACCGTATGTTTTACTCTCCAGTCCCCTAATCATCCTGGTTGCTCTTCTCTGTACTTTTTCATAAATACTAAATGGCAGAGGCTTCCTTCGGGACAAGCAAAACGTTGTAAAAAAGGCAGACTAAATCAATGAAAATTGAGGACTTAGCAAACTTTATTTTTGGAACCTTTGCTCAAATGATTAATATGTTTCTAAGAACTGCTCCTTTCTTCCCCACCCCGACTCCAATTGTAATACTTAACACGAATACAGCTTCAGCAGGTGACACATTTAGCTGAGCTCAGAAAGCTAAGCTGGACCAGTTATTTAGATAGGAGACCACTCGGAGATCATAAGGCTGTAGTCTAGGCCAGCAATCCCCAATCTTTGTGGCTTGGTGCGGCCCGTCTTGGGGAGGGGAGGGAAACGGGGCCGCATAAGTGTGAGTGGCGGGCCAGGGTACAGGGGTACGCAGCTCGACTTGCACAAAAGTTGGGCCAGTGTGTGCGAGTGCTCACCAGCCCACTGCTCACACAACTTGAGCTGCGTGCACACACACACATGCTCCAGCCAGCCACTCATGTGGCCCAATTCCGAATAGGCTGCGGCCTAGTCATGGGCCGCAGCCTAGGGGTTGGGGACCCATGGCCTAGGCCAGTGATGGCAAACCTTTTCGGCACCGAGTGCCCAAACTGGAAGGCGCATGCATGTTCATTCCTGTGTGGGTCCCGGAACGCTGGAAACCTGAAGACCAGCTGGCCAGTGCATGCATGCCTGTTTTTTGGGCGCTGTTTTCAGGCCATTTTCAGGCTGTTTTTGGCCTGAAAATTGCCCGAAAAACATCCTGCCTTGGGGGCCATTTTCAGGCCATTTTTGGGCCATTTTCATCCTGAAAAACATCCTGAAAACAGCCTAAAATGGCCCCCCAAAGCAGCCTAAAACGGCCCAGAAAATGGCCTGAAAACAGTCTAAACAGACTAAAACCAAAATGATGTTATTAAAATTGAGCTGATTTAAGTAAGTGACAACAACCTAGGCCTGTGATGGCGAACCTATGACCATCGCCAGCTGCTCCTCTGGTTTATGGCCTGCACATGCATCCTCTGGTTTATGGCCTGCACATGCACTCTGGTCAACTGGTCTTTACGGGCGCCAGAGCACTCGAAAATAGCCAAAGAAATGGCCAAAAACCAGGACTTTTTTGGGACGTCTTCCAGGCCATTTTAGGGTGTTTTCACGCTATTTTTTGGGCTGAGAAATGGTCCCAAAATGGCTTGAAAATGCCCCCAAAACAGCCTGAAAATGGCTAAAAATGCCCAAAGAACAGGCCTAAAACGTCCTGAAAAGCAGCCTGGAAATGTCCTGAAAAATGGCCTGTTCTTTGGCCATTTTTGGCCATTTTCAGGCTGTTTTGGGGGCATTTCTCAGCCCCAAAAAAACAGCCTGAAAACACCCTAAAACGGCCTGGAAGACGTCCCCAAAAACGTCCTGGTTTTTGGCCATTTCTTTGGCTGTTTTCCAGCGCTCTGGCGCCCGCAAAGACCAGTGGACCAGAGTGCATGTGCAGGCCATAAACCAGAGGAGCAGCTGGCGATGCTGCGCGTGCCCAGGGAGAGGGGTCTGCATGCCACCCCTGGAACAGGTCATAGGTTTGCCATCACAGGCCTAGGTTGTTGTCACTTCCTTAAATCAGCTCAATTTTAATAACATCATTTTGGTTTTAGTCTGTCCCCAATTTTTTAGGTTTGAGACGCTTCCTTTTAGGAGTCAAGCCTCTTCATGCCTTTGTTTTACAGGTTGTCCTCTACTTAGAACCGTTCATTTAATGACTGTTCAAAGTTACAACAGCATTTTAAAAGTGAGCCTCGCTTATACTGTTTTTCACACTTAACGACCCACGGTCATGTGATAAAAAATGCAGACCCTTGGCAACACGCTCATATTTATGACTGTGGTAGGTCACACGATCCCCTTTTGCGACCTTCCAACAAGCAAAGTCAACGGGGAAGCCGGATTCGCTTAACAACCGTGTTCCTGACATAAATAACTGCAAGGGGTTCACTTAACAACAGTGCTATTAATTTAACAGCTGCAGAGATTCACTTAATAACAGACTCAAGAAAGGTCGTAAAATGGGGCAAAACTCACTCGACAACAGTCTTGCTTAGCAACAGAAATTCTGGTCTCAATTGCGGTCATAAATCGAGGACTACCTATATACTCAAGCAATTAATTCCTGCTATTCCTATTTTTTGGGGTGGGGGGTGGGGAAAGAGAGCTGTTTCTTTTGTGAAAGGGAGGAGCTGACCATTTAACAGAATAACAGAGTTGGAAGGGACTTTGGAGGTCTTCTAGTCCAACCCTCTCTTCAGGCAGGAGACCTTATGCCATTCCAGGCAAATCGTTGTCCAATCTCTTCTTAAAAACTTCCAATGTTGGAGCATTCACACCTTCTGAAGGCAAGCTATTCCACTGGTTAATTGTTCTCACTGTCAGGAAATTTCTCCTTAGTTCTAAGTTGCTTCTCACCTTGATTAGTTTCCATCCTTATTGCTTCTTGTCCTGCCTTCAGGGGCTTTGGAGAATAGCTTGACTCCCTCTTCTTTGGGGCAGCCCCTCAGATATTGGAAGGCTGCTCTCATGTCTCCCCTGGTCCTTCTTTTCATCAGACTAGACATACCCAGTTCCTGCAAACTTTTGTTCATGTGTTTTAGCCTCCGGTCCCCTAATCCTCTTGGTTGCTCTTCTCTGCATTCTTTCCAGAGTCTCAACATCGGTTTTTACACTGTGGCGACCAAAACTAAATGCAGGATTCCAAGTGTGGCCTTACCAAGGTCTTGTAAAATGGTATTAACACTTCACGTGATCTTGATTCTATCCCTCTGTTTATGCAGCCTAGGATCGCGTTAGTATTTCAGTCAGTGCTCCTGTGGTCCTTTTGTCTGGAGGAAAAGCAATTCTGACACCATTTTTCTTCCACACTTTCGCTGAAAGCTGTGGCACACAAACACATACGTACACACACACACATTTTCACACTGCAGGACGGCTTCTCACATCCTGGTGGAGATCCAGGCTCCCTTCTCCTCTGAACAGTTTTGTAGAGAGTAAAGAGACAACCCGGTTCCCAGATCTCAAGATGCTTCTTTATTAAATATTTCCATTAATATCCAGTTTGTTCTATCCTCTTATCACCTCTGACAACAATAATAATAATTAAAAAAAAAAAAACACAGCAACATGGAAATAGTTTAAAAGCATCGACTTTGCAAAAGCTGAATTTGTGGCCTTTGGAAGAATTCTGTTTGAAAGTAATGCTGGTGACTTACTTTCTCTGCTTTACTGTAAATCGACTACAGGGAGTCCTCAGGTTACGACCGCAATCCAGCCCAAAATTTCCGTTCTGTGAGCATGGCTTGGTGGGTGTGGCTTGGTGGGTGTAGCAGGGAAGGATACTGTAAAATTTCCATTCCCTCCCCACTCCAGGAGGAAGATTATTGCAAAATTCCCCT